CATGCACAACAAGGACGTAGGCAAGAATTCCGAAATAACGTTAATATAAAGAAAAGGTGAAACTACACATTTTTACAGAATCATGTCGGACACTTGCAAGTTTATTGATGTTTCTCATCCTACTTCTCTTAATTATTTCGTTACGGATTTCATATATTAGGTACAAAAACACAGAAATTTAAATCTATCTTTTGTCTAGAAAGTTTGTTGGATTTTGTACAATGTTGCACGAGGACTATCTGCGCTAGCCGCCTCTAGTGATAGACTATAGAGTAAGGCAGCTAGTTGACAGCCGCCTCTAGTGATAGACTATAGAGGAAGGCAGCTAGTTGACAGCCGCCTTAGTGATAGACTATAGAGGAAGGCAGCTAGTTGACAGCCGCCTCTAGTGATAGACTATAGAGTAAGGCAGATAGTTGACAGCCGCCTCTAGTGATAGACTATAGAGGAAGGCAGATAGTTGACAGCCGCCTCTAGTGATAGACTATAGAGTAAGGCAGATAGTTGACAGCCGCCTCTAGTGATAGACTATAGAGGAAGGCAGATAGTTGACAGCCGCCTCTAGTGCTAGACTATAGAGGAAGGCAAATAGTTGACAGCCGCCTCTAGTGACTAGACTATAGAGGAAGGCAGCTACTTGACACTACCTCTCACCAACTCATGGGCTACTCTTGTCAGACCGAAAAGTGGGATTTAATAGTCACTCTTATAAAGTTCCCAGACTCTAAGTGCAGAGCATGATTTTCTTTTAGCATGAGACGCGAACCACGTAACCTCAGCACCACAGGTCGTAACATTAACCCTGGGACCATGCTCGGCACTGTCTCGAAAAATTTAAGTTTGTATTTATTTTCAATCCCAAACTTTAACGTATATATGAACACATCAAACTTCAAATAAGTAGTCTCAATAATGTGCTTAACTTCTCCTAAATTCCTAAAAGTACTTGATAACAAAAAGTATGCTTTTGAGGCTGCTAAGTTGTGCCACTGACTTTATATAAGTATAAAGAAAAGATTTGTTATTTTCATGAAACTATTTTCCTTTCAGTTACAAAAACACACACAATAAACAATTGCATTGTTGTGAAAATAGTAGGGTTTATCTCAATATTGCCTTTATTTTTTTATATTAATCCTTGCATGTAGGTATAATTTTAATTCAACCTCTGAGCAAGTATTTTTTTATAATATTTAAGCGTATCTTACTTTTTTAACGGGATCATTTTATGAGTAATTATTGTCGTGGTGATATTTACATTTTGGGCAAATTTGAAGGTGTTTCTGATCTACCAGTGCCATTATTATTATTCCAAAGCGAAAAAATAAACGATTTATATTGATTTCAGAAGAGTCTTATTCAATGTCAAAACTTATAAGATATAATGGAGTAGTTAATGTATTGTGTTCCAAATTTTTCTTAACGAGTGAACTTATACTTAAACAATAATTTGCTACAAGAGAATTAATAATTCGTTAATAATTAGACTCTATGCTATAACTAAAATTCTGAATTCATTACATTAGACTAAATTTTTCAAGTTCTTCTAACTGAACTTCCACCTGTCCAATTTTGGAGAATAACTAAGCATAATATAAATAGTTGGTGACTCATTATTTACGGCAGAGATAATATACGTAAATAGTTGGTGACTCATTATTTACGACAGAGATAATATACGTATTATGACTTTCAAATACACATTTTAGATTATTATGTCCACATTTTAAACTGAAATCCTCTCTGTCTTCTTCTCCAATTTCTTACTATGAATAAGCTTATTAAGATGTGAAACTATAGATTAATCCCAGCAAGTTTAGAATTATACTTCAAAGCATGTTTTGTCCCAAATCTTATGCATATCATCGTATCGCTGTTAAATATTTATCATATATCAACAACGTCACTGCTTTCATAAAGGCTTAGCGTATAACACCCAGTTTATCGAAAAATTTACCTTTCATCATCTTTATTTTCTTTCTTTCCTTTCTCCTACAACAATAGTTATATACGTGTAAAGAATGCAAAGTATTCGGTTAAAGAAATATTAAAACGTCCTAATAACGGGTAAACTCGATCAAAATATTTGTAGTTACTTTCAATCTTTTGTTTTGCTCGCTATTATTTCCTTTGGAGTTCAGCAGTAAGTTAAAAATATTTTTGGTGTAACACGTGAATGACTGGATTTGTAATCCGGTGTTTAAATTCCATTTAAATTCTTCTAATAGCAATAATTATCGTTTTAGACATAATAGGTTTCATTCTGCTCTTCGTGTAAATAAGTTATTGTTATCGATATTAGAACGCCAACTTACCACTCCCAGTAGTCCGCATTCGAGATCAATACAATCATGAAAATAGTAATATAGTTGTAAGTATATTGTGAGATATTAAAGTTCAAAAAACAAAATAAAAATAGTAATACACACACACACACACGAGGGCATTGGTAGAAGTAAATAACAGGAAACTGTTTGTTTGTTTGTTGCGCTCAATGTTATATGGGTGTTATCTGCGCTAGTCGTCTCTAATTTTAAACTGATAATATAAAGAGAAGGAAGGCAGCTAGTCAACAACACCCACCGCAAACTCTTGGGCTACTCTAATCGAATAGTATCATTTGACCGTCACACTTATAACACACCCACGGCCCCAAAATGTGGAGTGCGATTTTTTTTTGTGACAGTGGGACGTGAACCATATATCTTCCAATCCACAGTCCGGCACGCTAGCTAGTAGGCCATTCACAGTCTACGAGATATTGAACAATTAAAAATATTAACTCAATTTATTTTTCAAACTTGAATTTCTTGCATTAAACTTACAACTTAACTGTTTGCACAGAAAACATCTGAAGAGGAAACGTCCGAAACAAAACCTTTTTTTTTCTCCATCTTCGTGATTAAACTTCTAATTTCACCTGTGTCGATTGTAAATCGAGGTTCAATACAATAAACAATGTATCCCGCTCATTTATTTGGTCTTCCCTCATCAGATGCCTTCTTACTAGTGCACGTTTTGCCTTTCCTATATTGCAGTTTGTAACCTAGCTTTATTAGTATTTTCTTTATGTGCAACGCTTTTTTTGTTTTTACGGTTTAGTTATCTATAATATATATATATATATATGTTTAAGTATAAGATGTATTTAGCTAAAGCTTTAAGACATCAGATTATTCTTAGTGGTAACATTAAATATTAAACTAAGAATCATGCTCATGTGCGAGTTTAATATTTTGTATTTATAACTCTCTGTCAAAGTATTTTGCGCTCTTTAACCTTATATTTAATTTTCATCTACTGTTACTTGGGATTTGAAATTTCATATGTTGTTGTTTTCAAGTGAAACACAGAATTCAACGTAGCCTAATAGCTAAATCATTGCCGAACGATATGAATACTGCTGAAATCGTTCCTTATTTGAATAAATCTACCATAAATTCCTTGCTCTGATCATAATTTTTTTTCTGGTGTTTGAGTGGTTTGAGTGAATGTGAAGTACAGGAAATAAGTGAGTCAGACTCATTAGGATCGTAAATCATAACGCTAAATGGAAGGAACTATTGCGTATCATCTTTTATAATGAATTCTTTATATTGTTAGCTACTGATCGAGTTCTTAAGATCGCATCCAATATTTTTTTTTGGAAATATAACTTGATTTATATGATTATGGCAACTTAAATTGAAAAATATTTATTTTTTTACAAAAAAAGTAGTTATTCAAACGGATCAGAGATTTTTTTATAAAAGTGTAGCAGCATTTAATGCAAAGAAATGTTCATTATATAAATAGTGCAATTTTGCGAATCGTAATAAATGAAACTAACTTTAAATATAATATATATATATATATTGTTGTTGTCTTGCCACTGGCTTGGGCATTTATGGTCATATTATTTTCTGTTTGTTTTTTCTAATTTCACACAGTACGACAGTATTCCTTCAAATATTAACATGGTAATAGTATGATGTGGTAGCCTAAAAGGATTACCTCAACTACTGAATTACATTCAAAGGTACAATTAACCTACTCTAAGTTCTCTGATCTCACTGGGCTGCCGTAAGAAAGTGGATAGTAACCATACAAGCGTGATAAGATGTTAGTTTTACTTTAACTTGTTCTCTTTGTATCGCAGAAGCTAAGTCAGTTTACGATGAAACTATTAATGGGCTTTATTGGCTTCTTCTCAAAAAGTTTAACGACCAAGATATAGTTGTTTTCTTGACTATTGTGCGTTTTGGCTCGGGTCAGTAAGGTTATATAACCTTCATTTCCGCTGCGTATGGCTTTGTCTCGAAAACAAAAAGTACATGGAAGAACAACTTAAGGTTCTTGCTCAAAGCAAGCAAATTTTAATGGAATAAAAACAATTACTCTGCGTGGTTAGAAAACAAATATAAGATCATTTGTGGCTGTATAAAGGATGCTGGAGAACAACGGTAAAAGAAATGCTTATCAGACTAATCAGACTCTAAGTAACGGTAATTGTTTAAGTAGATATAAGTAAAAGATTACCCTTATAATGAGCTCAGTAATCTTTGCAACATACGAAATGTATTATGTATACAATCTCGGTTAACTGAATCTCACAGCAACAGAAATTAATTTATAAACCAAACAAAAGTTAATAAACAACGCTTCGTGGCTGTAAAGTTGATTCATTGATGTTGCTTGTTGGAAAATACTTCCCTACGTTTTACCATAATTCAGTTACCATGTCGTGACACGAGCTGTGATTTAAAAAAAGGAGTACAAAAATATTTTGACGTTTTAAGGCATTATATCACATGTAGAATGTATAACCCTATATAGATAACAATAGCGTTTTATATTTCCATTCAAAATAGTGAATAATTAGTTCAAAAAAATTAATCATGGAAATCAGTGGTTCTGATAATTAAACACATGTGGATGTAAACGATTCTGAATTAAAAAAAAATAATTTAGCTAAATGTGGTATGTAAATTTGTTATTAACGCACAAAGAACTTGTTGTAGATCAGAAAGAACTTCGTTTCCTAAATCTAGCTGCTAGTTATTATTGAAAACAGTTCAACATTTACTACAAACAGACAATCCTGATGGACCAGAAGGTGTCTAGCAGTGACACCAAACAAACAGAGGAAAGCACTATAGAGAAAGGAATAAAGGATTCTACAATACCTGAAACATGTGATACAAAAAATTTGAATGGAAAATTCAAACCAAAATCAGCAGTTTCAGAGAAAGATGCCAATCTACAACAGAAAGCTATAGACGATTACACACACGCTCAAGAAAAGAAAACCTTAAGCACAAGCGATAAGAAAGAGGACTTTTTTCAACTTCAAACAAATTCCACTCAACAAAAAAGTGATTCCACTCTCAAAAATAATTCAGAGACGGAAATTTCAAAAAGTGATGATAAACAACCAAGATCAACGTCTTCTACTGAAGAACTAGGAAACAAAACATCTCACATTCAAAAGGATACAAGTTTTATTGTAAACCCTACGCAGGAAGATAACAGAAGTGAATCCATGGATGATTCACAAAATGTAAAAAATGACAGTACTATTAAAGAAAAAGATGCTTATTTGTCGGAAAAGTTTCTAGATAAAACAGTGGCCAAAGATGGTGTACTCGCGGATTCCGCCCAGCTCAATGGAAAGGTGCCTTGTGAAGATACGTTAAGAAAAACTGATAACTCAAGTCTTTTGTCTGAAGCAGCAAAAAAAGGTGAAACGAATAAAAAACCTTATGAAACAAAATTACCAGAAAAAGCCAAACTCGCTCAGGATTCCGAAAGGCATGAAATAGATCATGGCGTGAGTAATAATGAAGTCATTTCAAAAAATGGAGTTGAAATTAAACAAGTAATAGAAAAACAAGATTCTGACTACAACTATATCGAGGCAAAAGTTAAACTAGATTACATGACTACAGAACGTTCTGAAAAAGAACCAGAAGTATCAAAACTCATTTCAGATCAGAACAGAAAAGGAGACGATCATGATCTTTCAACACAACAGCTTGCCTCCGAAATAACTAGCTCTATCGTTTCACAAGCGAAACTTACCGTAAGTGAATCTGGTAGCATTGTCAATGACAAAATCAGACAGGAATCTGAAGATATGAGTATGGATTTGAAGGAAAAACCAGACCTAAAAGATTCTCAAATGCACACGGAGCTCAGTAGCCATCAAATAAAATGTGAAAAAACACAAGAAAATAACATAAGCAAAGAGAATCGAGAAGAAGAAAGTAACGTGCTCTTTGAAAGAAAAAAGGACATTGTACAAGTAGAAAAAGACACGAACATCAATTTTACAGACCCAAAGGAAATTAAATTGGAGGAAAAACGGGACACTAAAAAAGATGAAGATACTTCTTTTTCGGTGGACTCAAATATGGAAGATCCTTATAGTGTATCTGAGCAGATGACTGAAGATACTTTTAAGAACCAACACCAAAAGGACAAGGATATAGCTGAACAAGTTATTCCTACCAAAAAAAACACTAAAGAAGAGGAGCCACTCAAACTAGAACCAGAAAAATCAAAATTAGGGGAAAGTGGCCATTTTACTTCCCAACAGAAAGAGCCTTTAAAAGAATTAAACTCAGAACTATGTGAACGACAACCATCAAAACAGAAAGTTATTTCAGAAGATGTAACTGATAAAAAAAATGTTACAGTTGCTACAGCAGAAGGCAAATTAGGAAAAGACGAATTATCAGCATCTGAAGAAGAAGTCACTCAAGAGAAAACAGAGTCACAAACACATGATTTGTTATCGAAGGAGGTAATAAGTGTTAAAATAAAAAATTATGACTTATCTGCCGAAGAAAAGGAAGTTTCTTTCATGGAAATGAAATCAGAAAGGGAAGAACAAATTGACAAAAAAGTGGATTTATTGGAGACCAAAGTGGGTAAAGAGAAGTCCCTACTAACAGAGAAACTAGTTTCTGTGATGGAGGCAAATCCAAAAGAAGATGAACAACCCAAAGCAAAAAAAGATTTCGAGGAAACTGAAAAAGAGCAATCAATACCAGCTGAGAAAGATATCTTAGAGGGAGAAAGTGCAGGAAAAGCAGAGCAGCCAAGAATAGAAGAAAAAATTATTTCAAATGGAACAAAATTTGAAAAAGAAAAACAATCTGTAGAAACAAAGCAAGAAGAGGTGAAACAAAACTTAGAAATAAAACATATTTTAGAAGAAATTAAACCAGAAAAAGAAGAATTACAAACAACAGGGATTGAAGTCATTCTACCTGAAATAAAACCGGAAAAAGATAAACTTCCATCAGTAGATATAAAAGTTACTCCGCCAAAAACAAGATCAGAAAATGAAAAACAACCAACAACATACATGAAAGATACTCCAACGGAAACACAACTAAAAAAGGAAAAACAACCGGTAGCAGATATGAAAGCTACTCCACCGGAAACAAAATCAGAAAAGGAAAACCAATCAACAACAGATATGAAAGTTACTCCATCGGAAACACAACTAGAAAAGGAAAAACAATCAACAATAGATATGAAAGTTACTCCATCAGAAACAAAACCAGAAAAGGAAAAACAACCAATAACAGATATGAAAGTTACTCCATCAGAAACAAAACCAGAAAAGGAAAAACAACCAATAACAGATATGAAAGTTACTCCATCGGAAACACAACTAGAAAAGGAAAAACAATCAACAATAGATATGAAAGTTACTCCATCAGAAACAAAACCAGAAAAGGAAAAACAACCAATAACAGATATGAAAGCTACTCCAGGAGAAATGAAGACAGAAAAAGAAATGTCAATAACAGAAATGAGCATTTCTCCAGAAAAAACGAAACCAGTAAAAGAAGATGAACTAACAATCGACATGAAGGTAATACCTGAGAAAACTAAACCAGAAAGTGATGAAGCATTAAAGACAGATATTACATTGGAAACACAACCGGGACAGTATAAATTGCAAGTAATGGAAAAAAGGATTAATTCAGTTGAAACCAAACCACTGAAAGAAGAGCTAATAACAACAGAAACGGAAATTATTATACAGGAAACAAAACCTGAAAAGGACAAAACACCTGTAGCAGAAACAAAATCAGAACCGATCGAGCTGTCGAGAATAGATGAAAAAGCTTTTTTGGAAAAGGCAATGTCGGATAAGAATGAACTTCAGTCACCAGATAAGGAAACTGTTTCAAAACAACTACCAACAGAAGCAAGAACTGAAATTTTAGTAGAACCAAAACAAGAAATGGATAAACTAACAGCATTAGAAAATCAATTTATTCCAGCAGAAACAAAAGCAGAAAAAGCCAAACAATCCCCACAAGAACAAGATAATTATTCAATTGAAACAAAAGCAGCAAGTAATGATTTGCCAGTGATAGAAAAGGAAGCTTCTTTATCGGAACCAAAATTAGAAAAAAGTAAAGTGTCAGAAACAGAAACGAAATCTACTTTAGTAGAAACAAAACAAAAAGATGAAGTGCCACAAAAAGGAGAAGAATTTTCATTAGTTGAAACAAAACAAGAAAAATATGATGTTCTGCAACAAGAAAAGGAATTGTCATTAGTGAGAACAAAGCAAGAAAAAGGCATACCTCCATCAACTGAATATCAAGGTATTTCTACGGATTCAACATCAGAAAAAGAGCACAAAGATAGTGAAGTCGAAACTAAACCAGTAACTGATCAGTTGCTAACAGGAGAAGCAAACATCATATTATTAGAAAAGAAACTAGAAAGTGATGAAGTTATATCAGAAAAGAAAATCGATCCTGTGGATATTCTTAAAGAAAAAGATAAGCTAAATCAAACAGAAGATGAACTTACCGTAGTAGAAACAATAGAGCAAAAAGGTGAACTACAAACAACAACAGAGAAAAAAACAATTTTGGTAAATCCAAAATCAGAAACCGATGGCATGAAAATGATAGAAAAGACTGATTTACCGATGGTAGAAAAGAAAATTGATTTATCAGAAGTGACATTAAAGAAAGAAGAGCTGATGAAACCAGAAGAAAAAATAGCTTGTGACAAAATTCTACTAGACAAAGATGAGCTGTTACAAACAGAAAATAAGCTTAAACCATTGGAACCAAAAGAAGAAATAAATAAACTGCTAACAATAGAAGAGAAAACTGCTCTGGTAGAAACTGAAGAAGTACAGGACAAATTGTCTTTAACTGTTGTAAATGGAGAACCCCCAAAACAGGATGAATCGTTAACAACAGAGGAGAAATTTGTTTTAGTGGACTCAAAAATAGAAAAGGAAGAACTCAAAACAGTCGAAATGAAAGTCACGTCAGGTGAAACACAAGCAAAAATAGATGATATAGCAAAAGAAACGACAAAACCTACTTCAACGAAAGAAAAACCAGAAAAAGAAATACCACAACACAAAGCCATTCCGGTTGAAACAAAGCTAGGAAAAGATAAAGAAAATGTTATAACAGAAAAGAAACATGTTTTAGTGGAAAGCATGCCAGAAAAGACTCAATTGCCCGTCAGAAAGGACGAAATAGTCTTTGAAGAAAATATATCTGGTGAAGGTAAATTGATCGCAACAAAGAAAGCGAGTGAAAAAAGTGACCTAAAGTCACCAGAAACTAAAGCTCCTGAAGAAGAAACAATATCGAAAAAAGCTGATACGTCAACAGAAGAGGAAAAGATTAGTTCAACAGAAACAAAAACTGATATTTCGATAGAACCGACAGATGAAAAAGGTGCTAAAATTGTATCAGAACTAATAAAAAACTCAAAAACCGAATTTAGACACATAGCGGTAGGAATTGAGCCACGTTTCATTCGAATTGCAAGCTCCTGTGGAGAAGAAACTGAGATTGAAGAAACTAATGAAACACGAGAAATTGAAATATCCGATGATATGGTTGAAAGCGATGAACAAGCTGCTACTGCTGGCGCTAGTGGCACTGGTGAAGTTGAACAACCTCAAATGCAAATAACAGAATATCAGTATACTAGTCCAGAAACCACTAGAACTACTGACAAAGAAGAGGAAGACTCTAAGTTAAATATAGATGATAAAGAGAAAATTTCGTTGACAAAGAAAGAACCTGAGAAAAGCAAAGAAGTTCCTGAGGCTCATTATAAAGATAAAATAGTGGAAAACTATAAAGAAACTCCATTAACACATTCTGATGACAAAGTAAAGGAACACGGTGAAGAAATGTCGCAAACAATAGTGACAAAAAGTACTCAACCATTTGTTTCTGATGCTCAAGTACCGGTCATTGGTGATTTATCCGTCACTGCTACCAGTGCGCCAAAGCAAACTCATTTAATATCCGAAAGTACAATACAAAATGATATTTCTTTAGACATATCTATGAAAGATAAGTCCTCAGTAAAAACTGAAGGTCAATTAGAAACTACTAGCAATAAAGAAGAACCAACTAAGGGCATATCTGGTGAATCATTTATTTCTGACGATAAAAGTGCTGACGAAGGTATAGATACAAGGATCCCGATCTCACCAACTAAAGAAGATGAAAGCGAAAACAACGTGAAAGATAAACCTATTGTTGGTTTAGATGAAAAAAAAGTAGAAAGTATACAGGAAAAAGCAGAAACAGCTGTGCTAGATGACGTTAAACTGAATGAGGTTGAAGGAATTAAACCTGTTGCACAGTTTCTAACTAAAGAAGCTGTTAAAGAAAAAGAAAACTTATCTCAAGCAAAAGAAGACGTTCAAACAGTAACAAAATCAATCGAGAAAGTAACAGAAGAAGAAGGGATAGCTTTAACTGAAGATAAAAAGGATAAAGTACCCAAAGTAAGTTATATTGAAGAAGGGGAAAAAATTCAAAGTCCAAAACCCGATGAAATTAAAGAAGTTGCAGACTCTGACACAGCAAAACCAAAAGTAGACATACCAAAAGAAAAACCCGAAGATAAAACCCCTGAAGGAGCGACAGATACATCGAAACCTTTAGAGCAAAAGAAGGAGAGCATTTCTTTCAAAGATCAACAAGAAAATAAATCTATCAAAGATCATTCAGAACTTGAAAAAACTAAAACTGATGAGGATATAAAAGTTGTAGAAGACAAAACTAATCTACATGATGTCCTCCCTTGTGACTCCACGGTTATACCAGAGAAACAAGATAACCAGCAACAGAAAGCTATTGTGAAAGAAGAAAAGGAAGCAAAGGGAAGAGAATATGAAGAAATACAACTTGTTAAAGAAGATGTAGACAACAAAGATAAAACAGCTGCAGATGAATTAGAGGATAAATATGTATTACGAATGCCTGTTGATTCACCGAAAAGAGAAATACTTAAGGAAGAGACTCAAGTAACAGCTACACTTGATGATAAAGAAGTCATAGGTAAAACTACTGCAAAAGACGAAACTGGCAAAACTGTAGAACCAAAGCACGATGAAAACAAAATAAACGTTGACAAAGGAACAGAAAAACGTGAAGACAAAGAAAGCAAACTTCAAGAGAAACATATACTACAACATGATATATCCCCAGATATTTCGGATGCTAAAGAAGTGAAACTACAGGATAAACCGCTGCCAGAAGAAACATCAATTGAAGATACAGAGAAACTAAAGGAAATAATCAGAACTGACGAACACAAAGAGGATAAACTGATAATATTACATGAAAAAGAACAAATTAAGACAGATGATAATAAAGTGCAAATTGTACAACCTATTAACGAAAAATCAACTGTGACAAGTTATAAGACAGAAGATCAAAAGGATACAGTAAATAAAGAACAGCTAACTACGTTAATGGACAAGGATCTGGTAAAAGAGCCGAAAGAGGAAGAGAAACAGACCCAACTCGAAGCAGAATACCCTCTGTTTGAAAAGACTGACAAAAAGGAACGTTCTATAGATACAGATATAGACTACACAACGACTACAGAAAAAATAATTCCTGTTGAGGACGATAAAGCTCTTCAGAAGAAGCTCATTGGAAAAGGAAAACTAGATTCCACTCCATCTAGTGTTCCATTGCAACTGGCTAAAGATAAAGTTGTTACAGAAGAAGTTATGGAGAATAATTTAAAAGAAAAACCATCTCTATTATCAGAAGATGCATATGTGTCAATAAAAAAGCCAGAGACCGAGGTATTGCTTTTAGATAATGATGCAGCAAAGGAACCAACAAAGCAACCACTGGAGGATAGCGATTCTCGGATTGATTTAAAGCAAAAGGTAGATGAAAAGCACTTTGAGGAAATAGAGGAAAAACAGGGAGATATACCAATACAAGAAACAGAAATAAAATTATTAAAATCTGAAGAAGATGACCTAATTTCAAGAGAAACCTCACCGAAAGCTCCTTCAACATCAACAGAACCTTCCAATGACAAATCACTTCCGACTTCACCGACAAAGGAAGCTAAAGTTAAAGAGCAACCAAAACAGTTCGTGAAGTCGCCCACAAAACTAAGGCCTTCCAGAACACCGCCAAAGACGCTTTCTCGAAAAGGTGGGAAGTCAGTTATTTGGGTTGTTTTGATCATAATATACCTTTATATATCTGATGCTAGTTTTAATGTAAGTTTAATCATGATTTTACATACATGTACTGCAGTGTAATTTATAGAATGCATGATATTTGAAAGCAATTATTTAATATAACTGTACTGTTGAACCTTTCTGTGCGATACTTGTTTGTATTTGAGGTTTTCTTATCTGTTTTTGAACACTTTTGTTTATGTGAGTTTCTGTTTATGGAAGTATTTACACGTTATTATTTCTGTGTCCCTGCCTGCACAAGCTTGTGTATGAGTGTATTGCGTGTTTCTTTTCTTTTCAACAAAGGTAAAATTAAAAATATAATCTGTGGCGTAAAGACCTAATACATTCTTTGATTCGCCGGACCCTATCCTGTGGACTGCAGTTCTGCTTATTCAAGGCTAATCAGCACAGGTTGAATCAGCAAACCAAAGAAATACAGTTTAGGGCTCTTATAATGGTGATGAGTGTATAACATTTAAAGTGGTTCCGAGTTTTTTAACTTACCATATAGTAACCTAAATTAACTTAAGTTCTATATGTTGAGTAAAACAGGACTAAAAAAATCCATAACTCTTGAGAATGTGAGTAGATATGAGTTTTTGTACGTGTAATGATTTATGTTTATGAGACTGTATTTGTATTTGAATAGTTGTGATTATTGGAGTATTTACTTATGATTTTTGTATGTGAAAGTATTTGCGTGTGAACATCTGGACTTGTAGAATAATGTTATGAGTCTCTTTGAGTGTACGATGTAATTTTTCTGGGCATGTCAGACGGTTTGACTAGAAACAAACCTTTTATTTTTCGGATGCTATTAATAATTACTTAACAGGGAACAGCACACAACTTCCCGTCTGACATTATGATCTGTAAACTACTCTAAAAGGAGTGAGTGTGACGTAAAATCTTGCCCTTAACATATTACATGTGACGTAACATATTAAAATGTGCATGCAGAGTATCGGGTAGATCTAAGTATCTGCTTTATTTCAGTTGTTTGTTTTTCAAACCAATTATAATATCACTGTATGCTTGATAAATGCAAAATAATTAGGTTTGATCAAACTAATTACTTAACACAATAAGATAAAATGATCGATTTAGCCAGTTATTTCTATTAATATATCATTAGTCAATCTGCTGAAATCATCGAAGTTGTGTCCTCGGTTGTTTCTATTTTTTCGGCTTCCTTCACACCCATATATATATATATATATATATATATATAGT